AGTCGTCTCAGTGTGTTACAAGTCAGCTCAGTGTGGTTAGCAGGTCAGTCTCATTGTGTTACAGGTGTGGTATAGCAGTCCAGATGCTCAGTGTGTCTTACAGGTGCTGTTAGCACGTCCAGCCTTCAGGTGTGTTACAACGTCCCAGAATCTGCGGAGTTACAGTCCCCATGCTCAGTGTATGTTAGCAGTCAGCTCAGTGTGTTCACGCAGTCAGTCCAGTGAGCGTTACCCAGTCATGGTCTCAGGTGTGTTAAGCGCAGTCACAGTCTCCAGTGAGTGTGTAAACAGTCAGTCTTCAGGTGTGGGTACACGCTCAGCTCCTCCAGCCTTGGCTGTGTACCAGTCCAGCTCCAGTGTTGTTACCAGTCCAGCCTCCAGATGTGTCTAGCGAGCAGTACTCCGAGTGAGTTTAAAGTCCAGCCTCTCAAGTGAATTTTACAGTACCAGTACTCAAGTAAGTGTGTTTCAGTGTGTTACAGTCAGTCTCAGTGTGTTACAGTCAGTCTCAGTGTGTTACAGTCAGCCTCAGTGTGTTACAGTCAGTCTCAGTGTGTTAGTCAAAAATAATTAAAAAACATACCAAGTGATGTTTTTGTATTGTCCTTTCAGCTGGTCAGGGTACCATGGCAACAAGGATGAAGCTGAAGCTGAAGACTGTGTTTGTGCTCTACTTCATGGTCTCTCTGCTGGGCCTTGTCTATGCACTGATGCAGCTTGGTAAGTGGTCACCACACTGTCTCACTCCAGACTTTATCCATCACCACAATACTCCAGCTCCATTAATACTGACGCTCAGCTCAGTCTGAAAAAACTAAAATGAACTTTAATAAAATCTATAACAGTTAACTTACCGGTGTACTTTCCCCATGTGTTTCCCAATATACTATAAAGGCTTTCAAATAGGTTCCATGAAAATGAATGAGTGTGGTAATATGGGCAAAATTGAGTAACAGGCAGCCATTATTCAGTCCTGATATAATAATTATAGGTTTAACTTCATTACGAGGACGTGAGGTGAGACACTATAGGTCCCTTGGCACTGACCCTTACCATTCAGTGGCATGTGGCCGGATATTTAGCATATCTTATTATTTATCCTATATATTGTTTTATTGTTATGTTTATAATAATTGTTTACCTTTGGGAAAGCAAGATACCACAACAAAATGAAGACTGTGATATAATTAGTCATGTGACCAATATGTATTTATCACACCAGTAAAGTAATTTCAGCGGTGGCTAATTTTTATCCTCATACAATAAAAAATGTTAATAAGGCTAAAAGTTAATTTCCATTGTGGTCCTGATCTTTTGGGCAGGAGGGGTTACAAACACACAAAATAAACCAACCAAACAGAGCAGCAGTTGTGTATCCAAGTTTCACAAGCAGGGAATTCCCTTTTTGCTTCTGTGCTTTAAACTTCTTCTTGTCTCGTCTTGTGTGTTCCTAACACTCTGCAGGTCAGCGCTGCGACTGCACAGATCACGACTTCCCTAAAGACCGTACCATATCTCAACTGCGGGGGGAATTGCACCGTCTTCATGAGCAGATAAGGAACTTGGAGGTGGCCAAACAGCCCCAGAAACAGCCTGCCAAGCTGCCCACCATCTTTGTCATCACCCCGACGTACGCAAGGTAGCCAAGGAGCCTCGCCTGCTTCCATCTCCATCCTCCTCTGTTACTTTCCATTTCTTTTTCCACATACAAAACACGCCGTTCCTCTGATTTCTGTCTGTCCAGACTGGTGCAGAAGGCCGAACTGACTCGTCTGTCCCAGACCTTCCTCCATGTTCCTCAGCTCCACTGGATCGTGGTGGAGGATTCGCCGCACAAAACGCCACTGGTGGCTGAGCTCCTGGGGAAGAGTAAACTGAACTACACACACCTACATATGCCCACCGCCAAGGACCGCAAACTGCAGGAGGTGCAGACATCAGTCTTTTTGTTTTTGTCCTTTTCAGTTGAAGTCAAATGCAGGTTTTTTGCTATTTTGAATTCAGTATTATTCCTCATTTAGGTATGAACAAAGGAGCGTTTTTAAACTTTCGGTCTGAATGCTCACTCTCCTCCTCAGGGTGACCCCAGCTGGCTGAAGCCTCGTGGAGTCGAGCAGAGGAACGAGGGTCTACGGTGGCTCAGAGTGGACAGGAGGGCTCAGCCAGGAGGAGACAACCAGCAGGGAGTGGTTTACTTTGCTGATGACGACAACACGTACAGCCTGCAGATATTTGAAGAGGTGGGTGCTTTATGATCTTCAGCAAAGTTGACAGCCGAGGAAGTTGCCACGGTTGAGCAAGAAAAGCTAATGTCCTCTCGTCTCGTCTCGTCTCAGATGAGGAGTACCCAGCGAGTGTCGGTGTGGCCTGTGGGGCTGGTTGGAGGGATGAAATATGAGAGGCCCGTGGTTGAAGGAGGAAAGGTGGGTGCTTTTTATGTTCAGTTTATGAACTGTGGAGATGAATAAGTCTGTGTTTTGCATCAACAGTTCTCTGAAACAGAATATGGTGTTTTTGATTGTTCTTCTAAGGTGGTTCGCTTCCATACCGGTTGGCGTCCCAGTCGCCCCTTCCCGATGGACATGGCCGGGTTTGCCGTGTCCCTTAAACTGGTCCTGGCCAATCCAGAGGCTTGTTTTGACGGAGAGGCACCAATGGGCTTCCTGGAAAGCAGCCTCCTTCAAGGATTGGTTACCATGGACGAACTGGAGCCCAAAGCGGACAACTGCTCTAAAGTATGTGTGTGTGTGTGTGTGTGTGTGTGTGTTAGAGAGAGCGAGAGAGGAATGGAGAGTATGAGTGAAAGATGTCTACGTTTGAAAGAATAGTCTTTGTCATATATTATAGTTCAGAGCAAATGATGAGTGTGAGATGCGTTTATGGTCTTTGGAGATTTATTTACATTTATGTATTATCGAAAACTCCTGGAAAAGATATTTTTACATTTAAGTTATAGGCAGACTTACTAGTTGAAGTGTATTTTGAGGTGAAATGTTGTATTTCCGTGTCCATTCATTGTGTGTGTGTGCGCCTTGTAGGTCCTGGTGTGGCACACACGGACAGAGAAACCGAAGATGAAGAGAGAGGAAGCTCTGCAGGCTCAGGGACTGGGTTCAGACCCTGCAGTGGAGGTCTGAGGAACACACACACACTCACACACAC